TTTTTGGAATAGAATAAGAATTTCTTTGATTTATATTTTTAAAATGTAAATGGAACTATTTCACATTCTCTCAAGATGAAGTGGCCCAATTCAATATTGACTTTTGGCCACCCCACCCCCAATCTGGAAACAATATAGCAAAGTGATTAATAGTCATATGTAAAAGAATTAACAGAAACTAAAAATAGACAAAGAAAATATACTAAGTATGATCAGTCATATGAAAACACCTTATGCACATGCTTATTGACAAAAAATTGAAAGAGGATTTAGTAAGATAGTTGAGCAAATAAGGATGCTTCCCAGCAAATAATGAAATGTGAGTTTCATTCACAAAGGTGGATGATGAGAATTGAGACGTAGAAGTTGTCTGCTGATCTCCTTTCACATGCACGCTCTGGCTTGCATATTACATCTTCTTCCATATGCACACACATGTGCAGGAGCATACTGCCCCCCCTCAAATAATTCTTCTAATTCATTTAATTATTTTAATGAAAAAGAATTTAAAAGTAAAAATGATGTAAGAAAATAGGAAACTAATTGTTTCTCAAAATACAAAAAAATTTAAAATACATGCATACTCTTAATGGTAATAAAAATGATATAGCTACTATATAAAATATGTCAGTTTCTCAGAAAATTAAAACTACTAGAATATATCGTTCTTAATTCTTATCATATAATCAAATCCAAAGTACATCAAAAGCATCCTGTATGCCATTTTAATTATAATACAAAATTTTTATTTAAAAAGATAGCCTAATTAATAGCTATAATAACAGATAACTCTAGTCATTCAAATATCATGTAACAGAATATTTAAAATTTTGGCAATATATCTAAGAAAGCTGATGAAATTTACACACAATGAAATAATACACAATGCACAGTACTTATAGAGGTTCCAATACAGTTTATTTCTAGGGAACAGCCCATTAACTTTCAGTGATTAAATGGTTTAGCAAACTCTGGTGCATGTTCTTTACAGAATACTATTCAACAATAAAAATCAATAAACTACTAACAATATAAATTGTATATAAACTATTAACTATTGATAGAGCATTGTGGTTGAGCATCCAAAGAATTATATGCTTATAAATAGCCAATGCAAAAAGGATCCATACTTCCTGATCAAAACTAGTCAGTTAGTGCTTTCCAGACATTGGTGATAAAATATGGAGATGGTTGTAGATATAAGATATCAAACGAAGTAATCCTTAAATTCTGGTTTTCATGAAACTATTTCATTTCATAACAGCATCAATGATAATATTTCAATTTTATTTATTGTATTACAGTTTTGAAAGATGAAACCTGGGACATGAGAAACTGAGTAAGGAGTATACAAGTTCTCTTTGTTAAATTTTTGAGGTTCATGTTAGAATCCATGGTGCTGCTGCTGTGTGGGTGTGGGTTGATATCTGTGGACCATGTTACTACTAAAGGCCATGCTAACATCTATGATGTGTGCTGCAGCCTGAAGCCATGTTAATGTCTATGGGCTATGCTGCCACCTGGGGCCATGTGGCTACATGTAGCATGTAGCTGAGGCCCAAGTTGAGGTGCATGGGCTCTGCTGAAGCCTGCAGCCATATTGACATGAGTAGCCTACACTGCTACCTGAGTCTATGTTGATGTCTATGAAACATGCTGCCACAGAGGACCAAGTTTAGATCTGTGGTCCTACTGCAGCTTGAGACCATGTTTATGTCTGTGATCCTTATTCCCATCAGAGACTATGCTGAGGCCCATGGTGTGTGCTCCAACAGAAATCATATGGGAGTCCACCATTAGTGCTCCCACTGGCTGTAAAAGCCAATGAAACCATGTTTTGCAAAGGTATCAAAGATTGTAAATTCACAGTTATGAAAGAGAGTCATAGGTTTCTGTAACAATCCCTCTTCCCTCTCCCTCAAAAGTAGCAGCCTAGACAGGAAGACTCTAAGGGAACTCTTTTGTTTTCAAATCTTTACTAAATTATTTTATTTATTTACATTCTAAAAGTTGCCCCTCTTCCCAGGTCACCCCTCTATGAGTTCTTCACCCTGTACACCTTCCCCTCCCCCACCACTGAGAGGGTGTTTCCCCATTTGCTCAACCACCCCCATCTCACACCTACCAGCATCCCTCTTCCCTGGGGCATCAAGTTTCCACAGAATTAAGCACATCTTCTCTCACTGAAGCTATATAAGGCAGTCTTTTGCTACACAGGTGTCTTGGACCCTGAAGCAAGCCATGTATGCTCTTGGTTAGTGGCTTAGTTCCTGGAAGCTCTGAGGAGTCGAGTTATTTGACCCTATTGTTCTTCCTATGGAGTGGCAATCCCTTTCAGCTCCTTCAGTCCTTAGGAGATGCCAATGGTTGGTTGTAAGTGTCTGCATTTGCCTCAGTCAGTTGCTGGTAGAGCCTCTACAAGGACAGATCTGCCAGGCTCCTATCTGCACACACAATATGTCCTCTGTAATAGTGTCAGGATTTGGTGTGCTCTCATGGGATGCATCCCAAGCTAGGTGGCCTTTCTTTCAGTCTCTGTTCCATTGTTATCCCTGGATTTTCTTCAGACAGGAACAATTCTGGGTAAAATTTTTGAAGATGGGTGGGTGACCCCCTTTCTGAAATGGTGGCCATGTCTACCGATTGGAGTTGGGCTCTTCAGGTTCTATCTCCCCATTGTTGGGCATTTTGGCTAATGCCATTCCCATTGAGTCCTGGTAGCATCTAAAATCCTTGGCCTCTGGAACTTTCCAAAGGATTCTCCTGCACCCTAACTCCCACTGCTGCATATTTCAATTCATTCTCATGGCCCTATGGGTTCCCCTCCTGTTCATGCTTGACTTTGTCCCTCCTTTTTTCCTCTCCCCTCCCCTCTGACACCCAATTTCCTCCCTCCTTCTGCCTCCTGCGAGTGAAACCCCATCCAAGTTGGTTTCAGTTATCCACTCTTGGACCTTCCCTTCCTTCTTGTTAAGCTTCCTGTGGTCTGTGAGTTGTATCATGGGTATTCTGAACTTTTTGGATAATATCCAGTTATTAGTGAAAACCCTAAAAAAATGTGATAAAGATGTTGAAGTGTAGCACTCCAAAATTGATGCATTCTGGCGGCAGATGGGGAAGGAATCCACTTTCTTTATGGGGCTACCCACTGGAAGTTCTATCATGCTTTGAACACACAAGCAACACACATTAAACTTACGGGGTTTTTTGGTTTATTTTGTTTTTCTCTTTTCCTTTTGGCGGGCTGGCCACAAGAATCAGGGGACAGGCTTTGGAAGACTGGGAATTGAGTGTGATCATGGTGCATTGTGCAAAATTCCCAAAAATCAATAAAAAATATTATCTTAGACAAAAGCTTTATGTGTAACTATAGACACTCAATAAATATCTTTAATATCATTGTACTTACAATGATGTGGACATATAGTATATTGTGCTGAAATGGAAATATATAAGACAGTTAGTAATTGATTGTAACTATGACTTAGCTTATAGTCTCACCCAGAAAAGTTTGAGACATGACAATAATACACACACACACACACACACACACACACACACACACACACACTGGTTATTTGTATGGTTTTGAAGTCAGCAAGGGAAAGAGTACAAATTTAAAAAAAAAAACATAGACAATTAGAAGACAGTAAGATACTACTAAGGTGAAACAACTTATAAAGAAACAAGTTTTATAAGCACGCAGTTCCTGTCATCCACATCAGGATCTGCCTTTGGTGACTACACATGTGATGGATAGCCAGGTGGAGTAATCTCTGGATGGACCCTCCTTCAGTTTCTGTCCCACATTTTGTCTCCATATTTGCTCCCTTGAGTATTTTGTTACCCCTTCTAAGAAGGAACGAAGCACGCACACTTTGCTCTTCCTTCTTCATGAGCTTCATGTGGTCTGTGAGTTGAATCTTGGATATTGCAAGTTTTTGGTCTAATATCTACTTATCAGTGAGTACACACTATGTGTGTTCTTTTGTGATTGGGTTACCTCATTCAGGATGATATTTTCTAGTTCCATCCGCTTGCCCAAGAATTTCATGAATTCATTGTTTTTGATAGTTGAGTAATATTACTTTGTGTAAATTTACCACATTTTCTGTATCTATTCATCTATTGAAGGGCATCTGGGTTCTGTCTAGTTTCTGGCTATTATAAATAAGGCTGCTATGAACACAGTGGAGGATGTGTCCTTGTTATATGTTGGAGCATATTTTGAGTATATGCCCAGGAGTGGTATATCTGGGACCTCAGATAATGCTATATCCAGTTTTCTGAGGAAAGGCCAGACTGATATCCAGAGTGGTTTTACCAGCTTGCAAAATCACCAACAATGGAGGGACTTTCCTCTTTCTCCACATTCTCACTAGCAGCTGCTATCACCTGAGATTGCTGTCTCCTTAGAGGTCTGCCAGAGCCTGACACATTCAGCGGCAGATGCTCACAGCTAACCATTGAAGTGATCATGGGGTCCCTAATGTAAGAGTTAGAGAGAAGACTGAAGGAGCAGAAGGGGTTTGTGGTCCCACGGGAAGAGCAACAATACCAACCAACCAACCAACCAGAACTCCCAGGGCCTAAACCACCAGCCTGGGAGCATATAGGAAGGGCCTCATGGCTCCAGCTGTATATGTAGGGGAGGAAGGCCTTGTTGGGCATAGATGGAAGAGGAAGTCCTTGATCCTGTGAAGGCTGGATGACCCAGTAAATAGAAATCCCCATTATATATCATAGCAAAGATGAGAAGAAATTAGATAGGTAAGATGCCGCCTTACATAGAATCAGACATGAAAACAGTTTGTTTGTTTGTTTGTTTTTTCAAATAAAGCTTTATTTAATAAGAACACAATTGGGAGAAGGGAGGAAGGGAACTGTTCAGGTATTTAGGGCTGTTTGTAGGAAAAGTTGGGCAAGATGAAAGGATTTATAATGGACTAGCGGATGGGCAGGTCAGCAAAGCAGATCCAGGCAGCAGCAGGAGCTAGTACTTAGTCATGAGCCGGGGCCACCTGGGAGATGGTGATGAACTGGAACAAGTCACTGAGCATCGTATTGCTGTAGACCGCCACATCCAGCAGCTCTGGAGTGATGCGTCTCTGAGCACCTCTGCGTTGGGCCTCATTGCCTGCCAGCTCCAGAAGCCTGCAGGTGAGGAACTCCAGGATTGCTGCCAAGAAGATGGGCATTGTTTCACTCAGCCTCCGGGCATGGCCGCCCTCCCTCAGATGGTGTTCCACCAGGCTCACGGCAAAGATCAGCTGGGCTCTGGAGGTGCGGGAACGACGGTGGCGAGAGGAGGACCCTCGAAGACTGTTCTCCGAAGTCCTGGGCATGCTGGCCTCAGAATAAGATGTCACAGGAAGACTTGGCTCTACTTGGCTGCTCTCTTCACCTGGTAGCTGTCTGCTGACCTGCTGGGCCGTGGGCCTCAAGTCAAAGTCCAACGTCCAACTTTTCCGTTTGTACCAGGCTACGTATCCTAGCAACCCCTTATTGGTTCGAGCCCACTCCCACTGGCTCCCACTGATGACCTACATGTTCCAAGCTAGAGCTCTTTGGAGGTGTCGTCATCACTTTGTGACCTTGGGATGTGCAAAGAGACTTCATGACATCGAGTGTCAGGCAGTTTATGCTGCCTCATAATTCTCTATTATATTCACTGTCAGCCTGCTTTAACTTATTCAGATAACTACTTCAGCACCATGTTGTCAGTACAGAAATTTGTTCATAAGGATATCTATTCCTTATACATGCTTAAGAACATTTTGGCTTGAGAAATAGGAAGAATGTTCTAATCTGATTTCTTTTACGGTTCAAAATGGGCAAAGGGAATGCTCTTTTTCTTGCCTTCTCGTTTTTGCCACCTCTCCTCCAATACTGATCCACTTCATTTCTGTCTCTCAGAAAACAATGGCTTCTGAAGATAACAATAAAACATAACAAAATAATATAAAATAAGATAAAACTGAACTCATCATATTGAATTTGGACAAGACAAACCAACAGAAGAAAAGAAACACAAAGTAAGGCACAAGAATCAGAGACCTACTAGTATATAAACACAGGAGTTCCATAGAGATACTTAAGCTTCTGAAGACCTGCATTGACCTTGGGCTTTCTGCTTCAGGCTCTATGATTTCATATGAGCTTTAGTTGATTGATTTATTGGGTCTTTGTTATCCTGGTATCTCCCATCTCTTTTGGCTCTAATACTCTCTTTTTTTTTCCCCTCTTCTGTGGGGTTCTATGAGCTCTGAGGGTAAGAATGTAATGGAGACATCCATTTAGACCTATATGTTCCAAGGTCTTCATCTTTTTGAGTAATATCTGGTTGTGGGTCTATGAATTTGCTCCCATCTGCTACAGGAAGTATCTACTTTGATAATGGCTGAATAAAGCATTGATCTATGAGTATAGCAGAATATAGTTAGGAGACATTTTTTAAAGACCCCTTTTTAAGGATCAATAATAGAATTTAGCTCTACCTTAGGTCTCTGAACTATCTGGTCTCTGGAATTTGGTTATCCAATCAGTATCAGGTATGGGTTCTATGGTGGTTTGAATCAATATGACCCCCTTAGACTCATAGGGAGTACCACTATTATGATGTTTGGTCTTTTGGGGCAGTTATGGCCTTGCTGGAGGAAGTGTATCATTGGGGCTGAGCATTGGGGTTTCAAATGTTCAAGCTAGGTCAAGTGGCTCCTCCCCACCCCCTATATTTCCAGCACCATGTCTACCTGCCTGCTGCCTAGCTAACCATGATAATGGAATAAGCCTCTGAGCCATTAGCCACCAAAATTTAAAAATTTTTGTTATAAGAAATGCAGTGCTCATAATGCCTCTTCACAGAAATAAAACACTAATAAAGAACTTGGTACCAGGAACACGAGTATTACTGCAATAGGCCTGAGCATGCTTCTGTTTGAAGGAATTGGGAACATTTGGGGGACTTTCAATAGAAAAGCAGTTGAATGCTTTAAGTAGGGTTTAATTGGTCATACTAGTAGGATTTTGAAAGACAGTTGTGTTGAGAGTTATTTGAACTGTGAGGGCCTAGCTTAAGAAGTTCCAAAGGAGAAGAATATTAGTATGTAGCCCAGATATGGTTCTTGTAATATATTGGCAGAGAGTGTGCCTTTTTTCTGTCTTTTTCAAAAAAGTTGCTTGAGGCTAACTCGAAGAATTATGAATTGACAGCTTTGGCAGAAGATATTTCCAGACAGCCTAGCATTCAATATATCATGCAGTTATTAGTGGCCATATTTATGCAGATCTATAATGAAAAACAGCAAGCTGAACAAGGAAAAACAAAAATGTATAGTTTGAAATAAAAAAGAGGCACCAGGAAGTATAGACAGATTAAAGAAAAGAGTGATGTTAAATGGAGGAAGACTCAAGCAAGCTAAGCTTCTAAATTGTGAAGATTTTTTTAAGTAAAAAGTTATTTAAACATGTTAAAGCCTGGTATGGTCGTACACACCTTTAATCACAGAACTCAAAAGGCAATGGCTGGCAGATCTTTTCAGTTCCTGGCTAGCCTGGTCTATAGCATGATTTGCAGGATAGTCAAACTTAGACAGTGAAGGAAATCATAAAAACCAGAAATCTGGGGAAAATATAATTGAATGAAGAGGTCATGTTTCTTCCCTAAACTTAGGAGCTTCAGCCATGTGGTTCTAGGATTCATGTTAAGTATGAAAGAAAGATGTTATAGAATCTCCTTCTGAGACCAAAGAAAGCCACGGAGACTAGGCGTATGTCAAAGACATCTCTTTATGTAAGCCTAGAGAGGTCATTGTGTGAAATGGTGCCTTGGAGAACTCGAGATGTTGGAGATACCACATTTGTAGGATACCTGCCAAGGAAAGCTTCTATCAGGGAGTGACACTAGCACAAGAGAAATAAATGTGATCCAGTCAATGAAACTGAAAGGGATTGAATGTATGAAGAGTACTTTGATATCAGACATGGAGATGAGTTTGGAGATTTCTTAGCTGGTTTTAGTTCTCAGGTCTAGTATTTCCCCATGATTCTTTCTTTCCTCCCTTTTGGAATGGTAATATATATCCTATGCCATTATATGTTGAGAGTATGTGATCTGCTATTTCATTTTGACTTTACTTGGATCTACAGTTAAGAGACTCTCATAAGTCTCAGAAGACTTTGAACATTGGGCTTTTAAACTGAGTTGAGACTATGATAGATTATAGATGGGGATTTTTGAAGTTGGACTGAATTCAGATTTGCATTCTGTTATAGCTACACTCCTATGGGAACTAGGGAGTGGAATGTGGTGGCTTGAATGGAAACAGCCCTCATAGGCTCTCATAGGGAGTGGCACTATTAGGATGAACCTTGTTGGAGTAAGTATGACCTTGTTGGAGGAATTGCTTCACTGGGTATGTGCTTTAAGGCTTCAAATATTCCAGGATCTCTCTTCTTGCTAACTCTTGATCTGAAAGTAGAAGTCACAGCACAGCGAGAACTTTCAATACCTGTCCAGAACAATGTCTGCCTGCATGCCACCATGCTTCCCCTATGACAATGATGGACTAAGACTCTGAACTGTATGCCAGCCCCAATTAAATGTTTTCTTTGTTAGGAATGTCCATGGTCATGGTTTCTCTTCACAGCAATAGAAACTCTAAGACATGTTTCATCTCATATAATGGGCCTTATGCCAAGTTAGATATAGAATGGTTGCTCCCAAAAGCTTTGTGTCATTACTATTCTAGTATATTTTGTAGGTAGCACAGCACTGTAGACCAAATATTTTGTAATTGTTTTGATATATATATTTCTCTTTTGGTAGTTTGCAGATTGCCTTCCCATACCAAAAACACTAGAATGTAGGGGGTGAAGGTTCTATGTAGGCAGCGGCTCAACTTTTTTATGTTCAGTGAGTTGTATGGGTATTGTTTTCATCAATGGGGAATTGCTGTCAGTTTTTTGAAAACAACCTATTATCTTGGCAACAGCTTGGGTTGTTTGGGGATTTCAACGGACAATTTTGCCAACAACTCAATTGGATGAAACCCAGTTCTTATACTGGAAACTTCACTTTGTGATAAGAGATGGCCAGTTAGAACTCTGTCTCCCCATTATTAGCGATATCTTTAAGATCACCTTCATATATTTTAGGATGTTTCCACTAAATTAGGCTTCCATACTAACCCCTCAAATACCCCTCAATTCTAGCTGTCTCTCCCTGCATACCCTCCCTCAACTGCACCTCTCTTCTTCCTCCCTACTTGTCCTATGCTTCTATCCACCTTCCCTAGTTCACTCATAACATCTATTTTATTTCCCCATCTTAGGGATATCCACGTGTCTCCTTTGGTCCCTTCCTCTGTAACTAACTTCTATGGATCTATGGATAAAAACTTTGTTGTTTATTAAACAGATAATATCCATATATAAGCAAATACATGTCATATTTATATTTTTAGATATGAGTTATCTCATTAGGGATGGTTTATTTTTCTAGTTCTGTCAAATTCCATGTAGTTCCTGAAATGTTCATGTCATTTTTTTTAAACAGCTGAATAATACTCCATTGTGTAAATATACCAAATTTTCTTTATCTATTCTGTTGATAGACATCTTGGTTGTTTTCAATTTTTGGCTATTATAAATAAGGAAACATTGAACATGGTTGAACAAATGTTCTTGTCATAGGATGAAGCTTCTGTTAGGTAAATGTGTACTAAAAGTGTTGTATAGCTGGATCTCAAGGTAAGTAAATTCCTAACTTTCTAAGGATCTGCTGCTTTTATTTCCATTATGTATGTACAAGTTAACACTCCAACCAGCAATGGATATGCTCCAAATCACTCACCACCATGAGGTGTCATTTGTGTCATTGATTTTAGTCATTTTGGCAGGTATAAACAGAACCTCAAATTGCTTTTGATTTGCATTTTCCTAGTCACTAAGGATGATGAGTATTTCTTTAAGTAATTTGAAACCATTTGAGTTTCTTCTGTTAAGAATTCTCTTTTTAGGCCTTTATGATGCTTTGAAAATAGATTATTTGGATTTTTTAAAAATTTCTAATTTCTTGTATTCTTTATATATTTTGTATATGAGTCCTCTTTCAGATGTGGAGTTGGTAAAAAAAATATACATTTTCCCATTCTATATGCTGCTGCTTTGTCTGAAAGATAGTGACCTTTGCCTTATGCAATATTTTCAGTTTATGAGGTCTCATTTATTAATTTTTGATTTTAGTGCCTGTGGTAATGGTATTCTGTTCAGGACGTATGCCCCTATATATGTGAATTACAGGCTACTCCCCATTTTCACATCTATCATGTTCAGTGTATCTTGT